CGACTTACTTGTACTAATTCATTTTGCATGCCACCCATAACAACACTCCAATGGGTCATCGGTATTATACCATAACATGACCAAGCTAATAAAAGCACAATCTTTGCATTCAGTGAGACATTCAATTTGGGTATCTGTGCCACCATTGCTGCCACAAACATACCCATGGAAATCACAGAGTAAATTATTCTTAATTTCTATAAAGATATATATAGTATAAATCTGTAAATCTGTATTAAGTATGTTTCGCATTAGAACTTACATTAAAGCACCAAAAAGCGTAATACATGCCACTTATATAAATTGCCACCAATGATAAAGATATGCCAAGAAAATCCACCGATAAAAAGAAATCATAATGTTCTTCCGATTTACATGAGAATATATGATATATGGACGATAATAGCATACATAAACAGAAACAGACTAGTAAACACACCACCAAAACTTGATCACTGATATCCGCATGAAGTCTTAGAAATTGAAAATCAAAAATGGTCAATCCAATAAACAATAGACAGCCACACAAATGGCTCCAGATGTTTATCTGTAATAGGAAAGAAAAAATAATTATAATAAATATATTATTTGTATACAATTTTAATTGGAAAATTATTTTCTAAAAAAATATTTCAATAGTATATACTTCTGCTCTCTTCATTCTCCTTCTCAGGTAATAATCTAAACAGTATGTAGCCAATTTAAAACTTAAAATTAAATTGCATATTTTTTGGCGAAAAACCTTTAATAAGATTTAAATTCTCTCTGGCTAAAAACATAGAATCCTTCTTTTTAAACACTACAGCCCAGTATGCACATCGACCTCCTTGGCGGTTTGCTTTTTTTTGATTCGTTTCACTGATATCATCTAGTGCTACTCGTATTCGGTTTTACGAATAATTTGAAGAATCCTATTAATCGAATAGTAGTTTTCGAAGTCGGAAATAAATCCGGATTTTTTGTAAATTCGAAGTCTTCGAATATCCGGATTTGCGGTTTCTATTCGCAGTGAAATAATTCGAAGACTTCGTGAGCAAAAGTTAAAGGGAGAGAACAAAATGCAAACAAACGAATAACGAATATGTCTACTCATCGTAAATATTATCATCTCTTGTTCAGTCGACCTCTGCGACTTGTTGTCATAGATTAAGCATGGAAAACACTTTTCGGGTTTCTCCAAAATGCTTGCAAAACATAATTTTCAGAATTGTTCAATTCTTCTATCATATTACTCTCTCCGGCACTCTATCTTAAGTTTCTTAATCATCTTTTTCATGTTGTCTCGACTAGGATCTTTAAAGGTAGGAGTCAATTGTACTCTACTACTTCATTTGAGTTACAGAAGTTTAGTATTATGGCAAAGTATTCTCTCAATCTTTCTAGCACTTGGGTTCAATGCTGTCATTACCATTTTTTTCTTCTGCATATCATTATCTTCGTTACTGACAGTTCTCAGTTTACTATAGACAGCTTTTGTGTTGTTTCTTTTTTGTTATTTGTCTATCGTTTGTAACTTTTACTTATATTATTCTTTTGTTTTTTGTTCATTATAATCTGTTTGCTTCTTTCCTTCTTTCCTAAATCTTAAAATATCCAATATCGCCCTTTTTCCTTTCCAATCACGGCAATCATGGTCAAATCAATCTGGTTGGTGAATCTGAAAGACTGAATGCTTTTTGAATCTCTACATTGAGTTCTGTGGAGTCCCATAATATTACTTTTTTCACCTATTATTTCTTCCATTGTGTCAAGTATTCCAGTTTCAATTCTAAAAATATGGAACTGACGTCCCAAAATTTGAAACTAATTTTAAAGTGTTTACACATTGCTTTGAAAGGATACTTTTTACTACAATTAATATTGATGATGATTTTATAAGAGTAAAAATAATTTTAATCCATGTTTTTTCATGGATGTTGATACCAGTTTAAAATATATTTTACAGCCCAATTTCAAAGTCATAATTTACATCTCAATACTGACTTAGGCATAAATTAGGCCACTAAAGTTAACGACTTAAGTTTAACTTAACTGAGTATTGGGACTTGAATTACAATTACTAGATCTTAAGAGCTTTAACGCGAAACTAAAAACTCAGAGAGTAAAAATGATTACCAAAGAAGAAGAAATCACATTTGCTTTATATAATTAAGAGTCATATAGTTTTATACTCAGATTGATATCTCACTAACCGTTTCATTTGTCCACCAAAACATGCTCTGTAAGCACAATTTTGTTGAGAGGAATGTGCGGTAACCTTGGCGAATGTAAGGATTGAATTTCAAATGGTCAGGAGCCTGAAAAATAAAAACAAAGGAAAATTTTATAAAAATTAAATATTAAATTATAAATTAAAAATTTAATTATAATATTAAAAAAATTAATTAATTAATTTTCCACAGATAGAACGAAGTATTAACAAATTGGATCATTCAGCACTGTAAGTGCCATATTGCCCAGGCGATCAATATAATCTTTCCAATAGGACTATTAAAGCCATGTAATGTGGGCGAACAATTGTGGTTGTTGCATTTTAACTTTTTAACTAATATAACTTATTATATTAACTTATATATAGTCAACTTATATTTAACTTACATCAACAAATATGGTGATCGATGATCGTTGAATCGCTTGCATTACATGGCCCTAATCCCGTCCTATTGGAAAGTATATACTGTGGAAAAATGATTTCATTTGCAAGAGCATTTAGTTTTAAATACTGTTTTGGAACTCATTAGGGATATAAGCTCAATACTCTTCTTAATACTCTTCTTTTGGATGTTAATAGAAATAGGAATAAAACGGGATACCAGCTCCCAACGGAGCGGAGTACTGTGACAATGGTTGATCTTTTGTGCTGCAACAGACCCTAACCGAATAAAGGACGTTTCGCCTTCCAAATTAAAGCCAGAATGTGACCCATTGAGGACCTTTTAATGTCAGTAGGGGATAGTAGTTCTCGATCTAGTGACTTCTCCTGGCCCAGATCAAGGCTGGGCAGTTACAGAGAATGTGACTGGATTGTATATTAATAATAAGACGAAAAATTTATATACGCATAATTATTTGGTCATTTATTTTTGGCATTATTTTGCGCAAAATCAATTACTGAACTTAACTTTGAGATTACAAATAAAAATTACTTGGCCAATTGCCCGCCAAAAGGTCGAAACCTCTACGATTCAAAATAGATATTTTTTTTTTGGCTCTTTGATTTTATTTTTTTCTCTCTTTTGCTTCTTCTTATTTACATTTGGCCAGTGCACATAGCGTGGCTATAACACATTTTAACCTTGATTTAGTTTTTATTTTTATTTTTGTTGTTGTTTTGTTTTGCGTTTTTTGGCGTATCTTCAGTTACAACATAAAATGGCAAAAATAAACCTAATATTTTATTATAAAATAGAAAAAAAAAATTTTTAAATATGATTTGTAAAATGTCAACGACACTTTCGGCCAAATACGTGTGACGACGTCTATTGTGTATTATGCGAGGTGGGAAGGTAAGTAAGCCGTCAATTAATTTCGAAGGTTCAATTGAAGATATTTGGAATTTACAAATGATCAAATTTGTTTCAAAGCCGCCAATACAGAAAGGTGTCAAGTAACAAAGTAATGCTTTTATGAATACAAAAAATATTTAATAGTGCCTTGTAATTATTTGCGAAATACCTAATTATCACCTTTGAAAATAAATACATAATATCAAAACGAATATTGGCCAGTGTTAAAATAATAGCAAATAAATTTTTACGCATTTTTCTTACTATTACAAGGGCAACCCTTGTAAATGAAAAAAAAATCACAAATAACACAAGTTCAATCCGATCACCAAATGCTGCGCACGCAAAGAAATGAAATGAAATGCGCGGAGGAAAAGATTTTTCTTACCTTTTCGTCGAAAGAACTTTTTTCACACACATATATTATGAAATCTATATATATCCACTTTTAGTTTAATTTTTATTTTCGATTGTTAAATCTGAGACAAAATGTATAACACTTGAGATTAATTTATAACACTCTAGATATTTTGGCAGAGTGGAAAGATTACACTGAAAGTAACAGCTGTTTTATATGATTTGACCGATAAACTATGATTTGAAGGTGTGACTTATATGGGAAATACAAATGCCTACCAACAATACCACAAAAACTTTAGATTACTCTAAAAATATACGATTGGGCCACAAATTTTGACGGATCAAGATTAAATCTGAAAGATTAAATGAAACAGTCAAAGTTGTACTCAAAAAAAATGATTCATGTTTCCCAAGCACACTTATTTGACAACAAATTCGAGTAATTATGACTATTTAGAACAGTTCTTAGCTTAGTTTTCAGGATATCGAACCTTGAAACTACAAATTTTTTCATAAAAACCACCAGGTGACCATTTTGCTGATCTACTTCTTATTACACATCGTTTGTGTAATCAATGTGTTATATACGACTTAATGCTAGATGGCGTCGGTTGGAATGTTGTGCAGATCGTGGATACAAACCCTTTGCATAGCTTCTACTCCCACAATACTCTTATTGTACTTAACATTGGGAAACGTGTTTCTTCAAAAACGCAGAAGCATAGTATACTATATAAAGTTAATAATATAATGTCAATAGAAGGTCTTAAATATTTATTTTTAAAAAGTAATTTTACAGTTACAATTTTTCGAGCGAAAGCTTATTCGCGATTGCACCAATTACAAACGCAAGCACTTTTCCAACCCGGTCCTTCTGGACTCAGCCAAAATTACAAATCCCCTCCAATACATATCCCTTTATCTTTATCGCTTTATCCCCCTTCACTAATATTTAATATCTTTGCTTTACAATCATGCTTTTTGGCTTGAATGAATCTAGTCTGCTAGGTATTAAGGCTCTTGCTCTAATCTCTCTCCCATGATTACAATTACAATTCTCATCAGGTAGAGTTTGGTATAACTTTTTAATAAAATAAAATTTAATTAACTGAAAAGTTAGTTTTATTTCATTTTACAGTTATGATTCTTATCTGCTAAAGTTGATTGTTAAGTAACGCATTTTGTAATAAATAAATAAAATAGATGACTAGGGGGATTACGTCTTACAAAAAATATATAATTTTACTCTAAAATTTATAATTCTTGACAATTTAATTTTAAGTTTTATAAAACAATAATATACCTTAGACATCTTTTAAATTGGTTCATAACAGAAATTAATAATAACAATGTGCAATATAAGAACACCATATCTCTACAACACTCCATTCAGAATTGTTGGTTCGGTAACGTTTGGCATCGGTCTTTTGACAGATAATCTAATTCCATTACACAATTCCATTTGCTAATGAATGTTGACACTTCTACTTTAAGGAATAATTTTTAAGGTTGAAATATCTTAAATACGTATATTAAAAAAGTTAATTAAATAGGAACTGTCCGAATACTTCAAGGCTTACTCTAGTTCTCTTAGTTAATGTAAAGGAATTCAGGCAGAGAAACTACGCTTTTCTTTTAATACTCATTTCAAAATTTATAGAAAACTTACAGAGTTTACCTGTCTCTGACCTCCAGACGAAATAGATTTTTAAGAAAGAACTTTTTTTCACAGCTTATCATACTGTATATCGGTAAGAAAGATCTATTACATTATCTAAACTCGACGAGATGTATATCGCTTTTGTCTTTTTATATTTTAACATTTCTTGAGAAGACTGTGATATTAAAACTGCTTAAAATCGCTAGATGAGATTGGTGGAAAGTTATCTGCTGACTTGCATTGCAACAAATTAACTAGTTGGCATTTTCACCAGTATATATAAAACTACAATTTGATTTGTAATCAATAAATCTGTCTCCGACTTACCGTCATTTTATAAAAGAAACCTAATGGTAAGAATTTTAACATTATGTCATCTGAAACATCGCTTAGAGTTTATTACATGTACCAAGTTTGAAAATGGTTCAAAAGTTGATGGTCTATTATCGGACCCTTTATATTAAAATTACATAATATAAATAACATTTAGGTCAATTCAGCAGAAAATTCAGGAGAAAATTGAAATGTAACTAAAGTCGTTAAAATTTAAATCGTAAAATTTAAGTCGTTAAAAGAATATTATAGTCTCTATTCGGATTATAATACGTAATATAAGTATTATTTGTCAATTCAGCATAAAATTTAGAAGAAAATTTAACAGTAAAAATTTTTTTTCATAGGGACCACTCTTAATAAGAATTGTATAGTCTCTATTCGGATCCTTTTTATAAAAATAAAGTAACATAAATATCATCCAGGTTTATTTAGCAGAAAATTTAGGTGAATTTTAAATTTTAACATTTTTTTGTATGATCACCACCCTAAATATTAGCCCTATATAAAAAGATTATAATCTATATTGGGTCCCGTCATGGGAAAATTAAGTGATTTAGTATAAATAGATTTTGAATTGAACTGTTTGTTAAGATAGTTTGATAATTTAAGAGAAAATTGGATTTTAATATTTTTTTTTAATAGGGAACCATCCAAAATATTGACTATAAGTAAGGGTATCGCCTATATTGTATCTCTTTATATAGGGATTGTGTGGCATAAATATCTTATTATACACATCAGATTAGTATTTAGATCATAAATTGATATGTTTGTTAAGATAGTTTGATACTTTAAGAGAAAATTGGGTTTTAATAATTTTTTTAATAGGGAACCATCCAAAATATTGACTATAAGTAAGGGTATCGCCTATATTGAATCTCTTTATATAGGGATTGTGTAGCATAAATATCTTATCATACACATCAGATTAGTATTTAGATTATAAATTGATCTGTTTGTTGAGATAGTTTGATACTTTAAGAGAAAATTGGATTTTAATAATTTTTTTTTAATAGGGAACCATCCAAAATATTGACTATAAGTAAGGGTATCGCCTACATTAAATCTCTTTATATAGGGATTGTGTGGAATAAATATCTTAATATACACATCAGATTAGTATTTAGATCTTAAATTGATCTGTTTGATAAAACAGTTTGATAGTTTAAGAGAAAATTGTGTTTTAATAATTTTTTTGATCGGTGACCACCTAAGATATTGACTATTAATAAGAATAGTATGACCTATATTAGATCACTTTATATAAGGATTATGTAGCATAAATATCTTGTTCGATACATGTCAGATTAGTAGTTAAGGAGTCTATAGGATATGAATAAAAAATAACAAAATGTTTGTTATTATATATACCATTATAATATGCCATTTTATTTATAGATACATATGTATTCATATAAATACATAAAAGTTTTTATATAATGTATTGTATAGGTATGTACGATGAATACATATAGATAAAGCAAATTTTAAAATTCTTAAACTTACATCTTCAAAATTCAGCAATAGCTTATATTTGTTTAGCTTCTCGTCCAAGTCACGGCCAAACTTATTTCCGTCGACGGCAGTTGCTAGAAGTGTACCATGACCCAAAATATTGGCTTCTTCGTTTTCCGGAAATTGATGTGCATCCAAAGCAGTTCTTTGGCCATCGCACTAAAAGGAAGAAATTGTATAAAAAATTAAATAAAATAAAAAATAAAACATTATATCAAATAATTCGGAAATTAATTTAAATAAATTTATTTTTCGAATTATGCAAAATATGACAAATTAAGTTAAGCAAAATTAATCATTAATTAATTAATTAACATGGCGCAAAGATTCTTTGCCGTCTGTTGCTTTTCTTTCATTTCGAAAAGGTCACGCGGTCTCAAAAGTTCCGCATATTATATTTAGTTTTTTATTTTTATAGTTTCTTTATTCTTTTTTTTAGTGCAATTTTATTTGCTTTTATTTGTTTATTGTTGTTGTTTCCTCTTTTGAATTGTTTGCCAATAGAAAACATGTAAACAGTTTTTATTAATTGTTTTCATGTTGTTTACATTTTACAATTCACAATTCTGCAATGAATCTAAACGAAAAAAAGCATGTAAGACAATAACAAAAACAATGTTCTCGTTTTTTGTTTTTTTTTTGTTTTTGTTAAATGCTGTTATTAAGTTATGTGTTTCGTTGTTTTTCTTTTTTCTATTTTTATTTGTTTACAAATTATTTTATAACCGCAAAAATGCTTTCGCGCCAAGTAATGACGTTGCGCATTGTTGTTGTACATATTTGTTGTCTATTTTGGTTATTGTGCATTTTGGTTTTGTGTTTGTTTTTGTTATTGTCAGCTGTAAACTGTGTAAGCTTAAGCTTTAGAAATGCATAGAAATTCAAAATTATGGCGTTAGCCACAAAGAAATATGGCAGTAATAATTGTAAATTAAGTAACAGTTTATATATATGATAATGAGAGTAAAAATGACAAATTCAAACTTAAGTTAAAAAATTGATATTAATATGCATTAATTATTTATATTAAGTTTTTATTTATATGTATATAACATATATATTATTAAAGTATTAATTTTTAATATATTTCAATTAAAGTTTTTATTTATATGTGTTATATACATATATATATACATATATATTATTAAAGTATTAATTTTTAATATATTTGAATTAATTATAATCTGGTAACAACGATGGAACTCTGATTTAAGAGGAAGATGCACGGCAAAGCTAATTTCAAATGTATGGTAAAGTCGTGGACTGAAAGAAATTTCGTCGAGATTGACTATTATGTCACAGAGTTCCTATCTGGTCATAAATATTTTCGAAAATATCTATACAGAATGCAAAAAGCAGAGTACCCCAGTTGTATACATTGCGGATCCGTCGAAAACAATGCTGAGCATACTTTCTTCAATTGCGAAAGATGGCATGGAGAAAGAACACTATTTACAGAATATAGAGGTCACTTTACAGTCGAAAATACCGTAGAAAAAATGATAGAACAAAAATGATGGAACAAAATCACAGAATTCATCGGAAATGTGCTAAGGGGAAAGAAGAAAGATTTGGACGCAAACTAATCTAAAACGAAGAGCAATCTAAAGACATTCCAATTCGGATCAGGAGTGAGAGCCGGAACAAAAAAAAATATATTTTAATTAAATTTAATTAATAAATTCGAACCAAAAATAAAAACTTAATATTTTTGTGACATATTTATATGAAATGAATTGCGAATAAGTAATATGTAAAGTTACATGTTTAAAAATTAAACACGTTAGAAATTAGGTAGACTAGGTTATACCGACGATTCCAAGGGATCCACTTAGGCCTATAGCATGTTAAACATTAAAACTAAAATTAAAAAATTTAAAATTGAGCATCAATATAAATAATATTATTTTTATTATTTTCAAATCTGAAAACTCAATTTATTATTATTTTATTATCTTTTCAATGCAAAAAAAAATAACTCCGTATCATTTACAGAGTCTTACCTATGGCCATTTCAAAATTGATCTGAAATGCAAATTCTCAAAATATATAGAATATTTAAACAATTTCTTCTAAACACCGGATTTTAAATCTTCAGGAAAAAAAGGGGACATAAAAAAAAATTTCAGAGATGAAATTTAAATCGAATCAGAGATGATGAAATCATCTCGGCAGAATTCAACATTGCAGAATATTATTATATTCATATTCATTCGATATGATATATCTATCCACCTATCTGGATACTACTTTCGATTAAGCTATGGAAAACTCATAAGCATGTATTTTGAGGTCTCATCTCATCCCTATAAAACCGATCATTTTTATTAGAGTAGGTGCCTACGTCACTATTTCTTTCAAATAATTCAGTATTCGTTTGTACCTACTTAACTAAAAAAATGGATACAAAAGGATTGTACCTAAATAAAGATACAAGATACAGAAATGTTACTGCATCCGAGTAGGACACAAGGTACGACATATATGACACAACATACAGATGCTATAAATTGATGAAATTCATAATAATTGGCTTATTTACTTCTTTCGTTGGGTGTGACTTCTTTATGCTACATTATATGAGACATTATGAATCCCAATATTTTTTTTTTATTAATTATGACAGTACGAATATTTGCAAATCCTCTATCTATCCTCTATCTCGTTTAAATTCTTCTAAGCGAAGCTTAAGAATTGTTTGAGACCATATATATTTTGTGGAACTACTTAATCGTTTTAATCTTCATGCTCTTGGTAATAGTGGGAATAGGAATTTCTCAATGAGTATTAATAATACTGGCATACAAAGAAATTTTGAATATTTTGGGAGTTTGAAAAGTTGTCATCAATTTTTAATGATTATTTATATAATGATTAAGATAGTTTTTCTTGCTTGAGCATTATAAAGTATCGATAGTCTTAGGCTTGATTGAGAAAAGGTCATAAAATTATATGTGGTCACAATGGGGTCTATCTTGACATTATTTTTTGGTAGACTGTGGAGATTGTAAAATCCGGACGGTATTTTTCTCATTTTTTTGTAAGAATTTGTAACTAAAATTGTAATTTTTATTAATATGAACACCTTTTTCACACCATATACATTCAATCTAAGAAAAAAACTTATTTGCTTAGAGAACATATAAATGATTTTCATGATATAATGAAGTGATGATATATAAACTATACTCAAAAAATAAATTTATTTGAAGTGAAATTGACGAGCCACGGTCATATTTCTAATAAATACTGAATATATATACCTAGATGATTCACAAAAGTTGATTAACAAAAAAGATTGACTACTTTGTATAATGTTTTTAAAAAAATTATTTAACAATAAAATTTATTTATTTAAAATGATGCATTTATAAACAATATTTGGCGCAATTCAACTTTATGTACATGCCTTTTTAAAATATGTAGTATATCTGTGGTTTCTGTACATATAATGTCTATTTTATTTCTATTTTTATACATCAATTCCTGCATAAATATTAAAATAATATATAGTTGAATAAAAACAATTCGATTGAAAAAAAAAAGAAAATAATAATAATAATTATGGTACAAGACTTGCCTGAGTACAGATACATATTTCTACTTCTAATTTTATATTAAATATTTGCATTAATTTATTTTCATTTGATTTTGATAATATTGCCACAAATTAATTATTTGTTGTACAAATTTTTTTGTTTTTAGATTTTATAATTAAAACATTTATTACCTATGAAAAGAATAATATTTAAAATAAAAGAGCACTACGAAATCCCATAGTGAAAACCGGTGATCTTGACAGTATCCAAAAAGAATTCTCTTTCAAACAAAAGAGCGAAGAAGTGACGAAAAATGGTTTCGAACATTTATTTTCCCATTTAGGGTTTTTTTTTTGCTTCCCTGTTTCGAATATCGATGATTTCGGATACTAAACAGTTTTCGAAAAGAATCCTATTTTATATAAAACAATATCATAGTGACGAAATTCTGATTTCAAAAATTAATTTTGAATTAAGTGAATTTTTAGCTTCCCATACAGCTGTTTCGGTTATCGATAATTTTGGATATTTAGCGATATTCGAATTAACGTTATAATCTGAACAAAAATTTTACTTGATCCAAAATCATATTTTTAAATTATTTATTTTCTACTTAACTTATTATTGTTAAAAATAAAAATCTAATTTTTATTTATTTTTAGAAAACAAAGAATAAATAAATATATAGTGCATATCAATATAAAATATATAATTTCTTCTAATTAATTTCATAGGATAAATTCGATTATAGCTATGCTAACTATATGTCAATAATATTAAATAAAAAATAATCACGTTTTATAGTTAATTAGTTAGTTAAATGTATATTAATATTAAATATATTATTTCTTCTAATTAATTTTTTAAGATAAATTCGATTATAGCTATGCTAACTATATATCAATAATATTAAATAAAAAAGAATCACGTTTTATAGTTAATTACCATATATAATTTATTCTTAGGCTACAAAGAATAAATAAATATATGTTGTATATTAATATCAAATAATTAATTTTTTAAGATATAATAGATTATAGTTACGCTAACTATATATTAATAATAGTATATAGTAAAAAATAATCACGTTTTATAGTTAATTACTATATACTCGTATATATATGTATATATATATTTTAGATAGAATGAATTTATATCTGCTATATATATATATATATATATATTATATTTTGCATTAGATTAGTGCTAATTATATTTTAATATGAGTAGTATGCTTTTTATATATTAAAATATAGTTTGCAATAATATTAAAAATATGATTCTTTTCCATTATTAAAGACTTTTAATTGAAAAACGTTTTGTTATTAATTAATAATTAAATTTAAAAAAAATTGATTAGAAGTTTGTTTCTAAAATTATTAACAATTAATAAAAAAAATTATTTTTATTTACTCATTTTTAATACCAATTTTGAAATTAATTCTGTCAAAGACCTGTACAATTAGTTCTTCAAATAAAACCATAATTTGAGTTTAAACAATAAATCATAGCTGATTAAAAAGAAAAATAGTTTATATGAAAACTATTTTTAAATAAAAAAAAAACTTTTTCTTCAAATTCATTCTTTTTAATTAAAATTCATTCTTTTTAATTAAAATT